CCCCCCCCCCGGCGTGGAGCCTCTTCCCACCTGCCGCTGCAGCCGGACAGCGATTCGGGCATGGCTGCGAAAACTCACCTCCGAGCTGTTCCCTGCAGACCCGAGACGCCCCCCGCCCTGCCCGGCCCTTTAAACGCACTTCGGAAACAACCGGGTGTCCTGGCGGGATCCACGGTTCCCGGGTCCGAAACCCGGCCACCTGCGTGCTTAGCGGAACTCAGTTCGGTTCTTTCCTCTTCCTCCCACCCCATCATCCCTGACTCTGCAACAGCTCGCCGGGTTGAATCTTTGGGGAGGGTCCCTGAAGTCCCAGTTCCCAGGCAGGTTCGACCCTGCGGAGGGCTGAAGTCCCGGCTGGCAGGCAGGCCTAGTCCGCTGGTGCGTTTAGCGACCAACACTAAACTTGCCTCGTGCGTTGAAGGAAGGGGGCTGTAAAGATTCAGTATAGGGGGGCAGTAGGTGGCGTGGAGGTTGGGCGCGGGGTCCCTCAGGGCCCGCTGTGTGGTTGGAGGCCCAGACTGGAGGCCCAGACTGGAGGTCTGGAAAAACATGCTGGGTGCCTGTGCGTGTGAGCCCCAAATCCTAAGAAAGAGCTGGGGTCGAGAAGGGATTGCCGCGTGGCCGTCCTCCTAGGGGTCATTTCTCAATTCCCCTCTCTCTGTGTCGACCAAACAAGCCCTAAAACAAAAATTAAAAGAGAAAAAGGGAAAAAAAGGAGGGAGCCGGCAGGTGGCGGGGTGGTTGGGGGCGCTGGACTCCCACTTGGCTGACAATGGTTCAGTCCTGGACCTGAAGGCTCGCTTGCTTGCTCTCCCTCTCTCTTTCTGTGTATGTGTGTGTAACAATAATGATAAATAAATAAATATTTATTTTTAAAAAAATAGAAGATTCAGCATGGATCCAGCAAAGGTGGCTGGGCAGAAAGATGACACGGGATGCTGGAAGCCACACGGGAAGCACTGGCTTTGGATCCCTGGTCACCCTGCACGGGCCAGGTGCTTCTAGGAGTCAGCCGGAAATCCTGGTTGGCTGGAAGGCCGAGGGGAGGGTGGGATGATGATGGGGCAAGACTCTGTTGTGGGGTTCTCTCTCTCTTTTGATAAATAAATGAACAAAACAAAACTCAACATAGTGTAAGGCCCCACTACCTAAAACGTGCTGGTTCGGGTTCCAGAGCAGCTTACAGCAGGCAGACCGATGGCCTAGAACACACAGACGGGCAGAGCGTCGGGGTTATGAGAGGGGATCAAGCGATCAGGTGGCAGTTCAGATCAGTGGGCAGAAGATGACAGTGACCGGGTTGTAACGACCGACAAGACACCGGGGAAAATAGTCTTACCTCAAAATACATTTCAGGTGGGTCAAAGATAACACTGTCAACACTAAGAATATCATTTACTACGAGTTAATATGGGTGAATATTTCTAAGATCTTGGCCCAAAGAAGGGCTCTCTAAGAATAACATGAAAACAAGAATCTATAAAGAAAAAATTTTGTGAATTTGACATGTATTAAAAATTCTCGGACCATTAGGTGGCTTATAGTTAAGCCACTGGATCCCACATGGTCGGCTGTGATCAGCTGTCGAATCCCTGATCTGGTGGCTTGAAAATCACCCCCGGGCACATGTGCATGTATGCCCAAAATCCTGAGAGGAGAATGAGGGAGAATGGATTGCGGTGTGGCCGTCTCTCTTGGAGGGTGATTTCTCACTTTCCCTATCCCTTTCTGACTCTTTAAAAAAAATTTTTTTTAAATGAATTAATTTACATTCATTCACTGAGCATCGTCACAGCATACAAAATGCGTTTTCCCATCCAGAATATACTGCTTAGTGGCTTAATCATGCATGCATGTTATCACCAATAATTTTCCATTTCTAGTTTCATTTATATATATATATATATACACATACATATATATATATAAACCCCCTATTTCTCACCTCTGCCACTTCCCACCCTCCTCCCTCACTATGTCAGTTTTCCAGTTGTTTTCTGATCCTTCCCCCATACATTTTGTTGATTCACAAAATTTCTTAAATAATCTACTTTCGATAGCAAGCACAGCTGATCAGTATATATCTATGAACACATGTCTGACTTTAGGCAGGAAATTCCGAGTAGAATGAATATACTATAAGGTAGCACCTAGCTGAGGCTGTATTGTTTACTCCAGTCATTAATTATGTGTTTTTTACTATATTTTTAATTTCAAGAAAAGCAGTTTTGAACTGGTAAGGATATTTCTTTGAAACTTAAAGCCTAGAAACAGGTTAGTATTCTGTTCAAATAGTAGGTACATGAACCTATAGGCAGCTTGAGACAGAACAAAAATCTTTAAAATCAGAAAACAAAGCCTAGAAGAAAATCAGCAATGTTTTAGTCGAAAGTCATAAAATTCTATTTCACCAGTTCCGTCTCATGTACTTAATCTACCTTCTGTTGTGATCCGATCTTCCCAATAATATTCCGGTATATAATATTCAACTCCAGACTTGTCCTCATGATTAAGATGGCCATTTTCTTAGTTTTCAAACTCTTTTTTTAATGATTATTTTATTTAACTTTATTTAATTAATGATTTTTAATTTGACCAGAGAGGGACAGAGAAAGAGAAAGTGAGAAAGCAAGCTGCCAAGTCTGGGACTTGAACCGTGGTCAACCATGTGAGAGTCCAGTGACATAGCCATTATGCCATCTGCTGGTCCCTATTAGTGTATTTTAATAACAGTGTTCCATTCTTCCAGGCTTCTTCTGGTCAGTGCACTGTGAACAGAGGGACTATGTTCCACTTCCAGTTTGGACCAGAAATCTATATCCTTTCCCCATCTGCCAGCTCAGCAGTGAGGACTCCAGAATTAGGAGAGGGTTTCTCAACAACTGAGTGAACAGAAGAATTCTGAGTTTCTTAATGACTGAATGAAGAGCACCTCCACCCCCATCCCAGACAAATGTACTAAACCCTGATATAAATAGGAAATAAGATTTTATTGTATGAAGTCATTGGGACCTACTGGAGAAACTAACATTATTTACCTTTATTTTAAAATTTCATTATTATTACCATTTTAATTTGACCAGAGGGAGAGATGAAGGGAGAGGGAGAGGGGAAGTGAGAAAGCAAGCCCCCTGGACAGGGACTCGAACCATGGTCAGCCATGTGGGAGTCCAGAGCCCAACCACCATGCCACCTGCCAGCCCCACTAGCATTGTTTACTTTAACTAATAAAGAAATGATAGATTCTATCTTTTTTAGTGGTTACCATTGAGATGTTAACATGCATCCTTATCAAAGTCTATTCTATATATCCTTATCAAAATTAATATGTTTATTATCCTGCGGAAACAAGTGCTTTAGTTCTAGCTTATACGTTATTGTTTTTCTAATTTAATTTATTATTATTGTTTTTAAAATTTGACCAGAGAGAGGGAAAGGGAAAGTGAGAAAGCAAGTCTCCAGGTCTGGGACTCGAACCATGGTCAGCCATTAAGGAGTCCATTGCCTTAACGGCCTGCCCCTTGTATGTTATTGTTCTCGAGCATTTTAATTTTCAGTTTTTTTTTTTTTAATAATTTCAGTTCTAGTTTTTATAAAGAATTCTTTGTTGGGACCAGCAGTTAGCGTAATGGCTATGTCTCTGGACTCCCATGTAGCTGACCGCGGTTCATAACCCGGACCTGGTGGCTTAAAACTCACGCCACGTGCGTGTGCATGCGTGCCCAAGATCTCTACAGGAGAACGGAGGAGAAGGGATTGCGGCATGGCCATTCCCCCTGGGGGGGTGATTTCTCGCTTTCTGTCTCTCTGTCTCTCTCTATCTGGTGAGCGCACGTGCCCTATAGCAAAAACCTCTCAAAAAAAAAAAAAAAAAAAAGAAAGAAAAAGAATTATTTATTTATTTTTTTTAATTCTTTCATTTATTTTATAAATTTTATCAGAGAGAGACACACGAGGTTGGGGCAGGGGGAGTGAAAAAGCAATCCACCAGGTCCAGGACTTGAACTGTGCTTGGCCATGTGAGAGTGTCCAGCACCTTAACCAGCATGCCACCTGCTGGCCCCCTCAGTTTTTTTTTTTTTAATTTTTAACTTTATTCGTTCATTTATTTATTTATTTTAATTTGACCAGAAAGGGACAAAGTGAGAGAGAGAGAAAGTGAGAAGGCAAGCTACCAAGTCTGGGACTCGAACCATAGTCACCCATGGGGGAATCCAGCGCCCTTAACCACTCCGCCACCTGCCGCGCCCCTTCTCAGTTTTTTAAAGCCTACGAATTAACCTCTGTTGTTATTGCCTCATAGAGTGGATGTATTACACACTTCATTGTTGTTGTCTTGACTTGGCAATCCCCGTCTTAGGGCTGAGATATTCCTTTTGAGATCATTTCCCTTTTCCTTGAAGTCTCTCCTCTTCCTCCTCTTAATATTACCAGAGGGCATATATGCTGGCCGGAAAGACAAAGATGGGGAGTGGCAGAAAGCACCCCAAGTGGAGCATGGCCATGCCACAGTCCCGCCTCCTTCCTTTCTCCATCCTGTAGGGATCTGAAGCATGCTGCACACATGCGCAGTGCCCAGCGTGTTTTTCAAGTTGCCAGTACCAGGATTTGAACTCTGTAGTTGGCCAAATAGACATACCAGTTCCATTAACCACAGGTCACAGGGCTGGCACCATAGCCTACCAGTTACGGGAGCTGGGCTCCACCACCAGTGGCAGCTGGGATCCTAGCCTCTGCGACGTGGAAAGCATGCCGGTGCGTGCCCAAAATCCCAACAGGGTGGAGAAATGGAGACGGGATTGCACCACGACCTCACCCCAGTTAATTGGGGAGTACTTTCTGCCTCTCTCTTTGTCTCTCTATCTGTCTCTGGGTAGTCCATGTATCCTCTGGCAAATTATTTACTTATTTATTTTATTTCTTTTTTTTAGAGAGTTTTTTTTTTCCTACAGGGTGATAGAGGCAGAGAGAAAGTGAGAAATCACCCCCTGGGGGGATGGCCACACCACAGTCCCTTATTCTCCATTCTCCGCTTGGGATCTTGGACACGCACACACATGCACCCCGTGTGAGTTTCAAGCTGCCTGGTCCGGGACTTGAACTGACCACATGGGAGTCCAGCGATGTAACCATTATGCCATCTGCTGGTCCTCCCTCCGGCAATTTAAACAAATGAACCAAACCTCTAAGCTATCAGAGAGTGGCAATGGCCCCACAGCACTTACTGCCTTCCCGATCTAAACTCAAGTTTGGGCTTCCTATTTGTCCTATGTAAGGATTTCACCTAATTTATTCCTTTTTTTTCTCTCTTTCTTACTTTTTTTTTTTTTTGGAGGGGGCGTGTGTGTTCACCAGAGAGAGAGAGGGACAAAGAGAGGGAAAGTGAGAAAGCATGCCCTAGGGTGACGGTCACGTTGCAATCCCTTCTCCTCCATTCTCCTCCTGGGAGTTTGGGAATGCGCACACACGCACACACGCACACATGCACACATGCACACATGCACACATGCACCCCTGGCATGATTTTCAAGCCTCCAAATCTGGGACTAAAACCACAGTCAACTATGTGGAAGGCCAGTGGCTTAACCACTATGCTACTTGCTGTTTAATTTATTACAAATTCATCTATGCATCTAAGAGGATTGTTCAAATATAGTTTATGTTACATTTAGGTATCTTAGTATGCATTTTGTTTGTCTTATTGCTGAAATCCTCTTTGGGTCTTCATCAATGTCTCCAGTCAATTTCTTTATTTATTTTAAAGAATTATTTAATTTTATTTCTTGTTATTATTTTTTTAGTTTGGCCAGAGAGAGACAGAGAGAGAGAGACGGAAAGTGAGAAAGCAAGCTGCAGAAAGCCATCCGGTTTGGGACTTGAACCGTAGTTGGCCATGTGGGAGTCCAGCCGCGCAGCAACCACCACGCCCCCTGCTGGCTCCTCTCCAATTTCTATTCTTCCCTTCATTCCCTGCCAGGTACTTTCCTTCAGGCTCTCCTCCCACCTTAGCCGAGCTACACGGGTTATGTGAAGTGTTATGCCTCCTGACACGATAATCGAGCACTCCAAGTATTTAAGAGCTACTGTTAACCCTCCGTATCCGCAGGTGTGAAACACCCAGATGTTGAACATCTGCAACTTGGATATCCTTGGGGGATTCTGGAACCGAACTGCCACCCTGGCTGCAAAGGGACAACAGCACTTTCACCAGTGAGCAGGTGGTTAACCCCTTTGCCATGATGGGCGAATCCAGTTTTCTGAGCAAACTCTCTCCCCCTGACTCAAGTTCAGTCACCAGGAGCAGCAGGGAGGACCCTGACTCTAACCTTTGAACGTAACAGAGCCAGTGGAAGGCAAGACGGCATAGGACACTTTTTTTTTTTAATTTGTTTATGTATTTTAATTTGACAGAGAGAGAGAGAAAGAGAGAGAAAGAAAGTGAGAAAGCAAGCCGTGAGGTCCGGGACTCGAACCATGGGCGGCCATGTGGGAATCCAGTGCCCCTAATCACCATGCCACCTGCAAGGCTAGGACACTTTTTATAACAACAGTGCGGTTTATGCCAGCCCAGGACACTTTTTATAACAACAGTGCGGTTTATTTACGGGTTGATTTCGTGGCACCATTGCTGCCCCCTAGTCCCATAGGGCATTAGACGTGGCAGCACCGAGCAGCCCCCAGGCAGTCATCGGGAGAGCGGGTCGCGATGACACGGAGCTAACACCAGAGTGCCCTCGGTACGGGTCCACTGAGGCCCAGGGTGGGGGGCGGGGGCAATTCCTGCTACGCAAGTCCCCACCAGGTCAGACAAGCACTCCAAGCCAGGAGAGCAGAAGGTCTTTGGGTCCAGCTGCCTCTTCTCATGTCGAGGGGTCAGCCAGGGAGTTCCCTTTGAAAGAGAAGTGGTGAGCGGAGTCTTTATTCCCAAGAGGGATCCCTCACATGGAGGAAGGTTGTTCCCCCCTCCCCGGTCATGTGTCCATTTTACTCCTCTTCTGTCTTTGCCTCTCCTCAAGTCACGCAGGGGCTCCCGTGAGCCTCGGTCAGTCAGATTTGAAGACGAATGTGAGACTCCGCTGGATTATGGAGGACGAGAAGGCCTTCGGGATGCGAGTGTACAGGGAGTACAGGGAGTAGGCCGGGATGGGCCAGACGGACAAGACGACGAGAAATACGAGCAGGATTTTAGCCCAGGACGGATAGGTTCGGGTTACCTCCCCTGACTGCGGAAAAAGGGGAGGAAGGTTTGTGAGGGCCCAGGCACCCCGAAGTGGACGGCTGCAGGGTTGGGTCGAGAGCTGGGGGGAATGCGTAAGAGAGGCCAGAGCGAGAGCCTCGGTAGCCAGATCCCCTGGGAACCAGAATGGCACCGCTGGGTCCTGGAGTCAAGAGTGGGTACAAAGGTCTGGTCCCCACTCCTCGGGAGGTTCCGGTGGGCAGGGAGGCTCACGAGGTTGGAGTCCCAGGCCAGGTAGACCATGCTCTTCACAGAGAGTTGGATCAGGGTGGTCACGAACAGGACCGTGAGCACGATCGGACACACGCAGCGCCACAGCCAGTGGTACAAGGGGGAGACGGGGCGGCCCAACATGAGCATCGGGTCTTCCAGGAACCTGGGAGGAAGGCAGTACGAGTTTGGGAGGTCCATTTAGGCCCCACTCAGCCCTGAGAAGAGGAGTCAACCTAAACTGAGCGGGAAAGAGCCTGTAACACTCCTCGAACCTGTGTCCTCTGCCACAAGTCCTCTACGACCAGTCTGCTCCTGTGGAAGTCAGCCCTGCCAGTGTGACCTCTGCCTCTTCTCACCCATCTCAGGAGCAAGGCCCCCTACCTGGACGTAGCTTCTTTCAGCCCACACACCCAGCTTTCTTGCTACGCCTTTTTTCTTTTTCTTAAGAATTATTTTATTTAATTTTACTATTATTACTATTTTTTTAAAATTTCGCTAGAGGGCACGTGCATTCACCAGAGAGACAGAAAGAGAAAAAAGGCAAGCCACCAGGGCTGGGACTTGAACCGCTGTTGGCCATATGGGAATCCAGAGCCTTAACCACCATACCACCTCCTTAACCTCAATACAAAAGCCACGTTCCCCTGCCTAGAATGCCTTTCTCTCTCTTCCTTTTCCCCTTAACAAGCTCTCCATCTGTTTAAACTGCCCAGGCATCCCCTGCCTCTGAAGTCCCTCCCCCTTCTCCAAATGACAGCCCACCTCCACCCCAACCCCACAGACGTCCGCGGGTCTGCTTCCTGTGTCTGCCCTTGGCCTCCGCACTCCGGGCATAATGAATGCCGCCCACTGCGGCCGGCACGCGCCCCAAGGCCCGCCCGGCACGTAGGAGGCTGGAAGGACGAGGGTGTGCGAGTGTGAGCGAGCACCGGACGTGCCGGAAACGCAGCCGCCCTGGCACGCGTGCGTCTCTACGCAGCAGGGCACACAGATCACCCGGGGACCTTGCTGAATGATGGGTGCAGGCGAGGTCTGAGCGCGAGCCCCGCAGCTTCCGCATCGCTGAGCTTCCTGCGGATGCCCGTGCGGTGGGGCCGCAGGCGGAGTGTTGAGAAGCAAAGGGATCCCGTGTTTAACAGGTCCACGCCCCCGGCCAACAGGGCGGCTCGGGAGCCTCTGGTCTTGGTCTGGACTGTGGGACGCCGTCCACTCCACAACCATTTTCCATAGGAACCAGCCCTTACCTCTGCCCTCCCCGCCCACTCCCCGACATCTCAGATTTGGCAGCGAGAGCAGACGGGGCCAGGAGAGGGGCCAGCGCTCCCGGGGACATTAGCTGAGTGGGAACATGCAAGAGTTCCTTGGGCTTGGGACGTCACCTCCGGGCCCCGTAGATCCAGACGATGGCCACGTTCTCCAAGAGGACGATGCAGAAGAGGGGCAGAGACGCCCAGTAATCGTCCAGCAGGTTTATGAAGTAGCTGCCCGAGGGGCCTGCGAACAGGAGGCTGCCCAGGAACATGGAGCCGCAGACGCTCACTGGAGGGAGACGCCGGGTTTGGACCAGGTCAGAGCCGGCTGGGCTGGGCGAGAGTCCCAGCTGGGTTCAGCTAAAGCGCAGGACAGCTAGGGGCGAGGGTGGGGCCGAGGCCGGGGTACCTGTGAGCAGCTTCCTGTGTCTCCTGAAGGAAGGGAAGGCGTCGTGGAGCAGGATGGTGATGCCCTGCAGGATCCCGATCACGGAGCTCAGCCCCATGCTCACCAGCGACGTGAAGATGATGATGGCCCAGAAGGTGGGTGTGGACAGCGCGGCGATGAGGTCGGTGAATGCCACCAACGCCAGGCCTGGGCCCGCCATCGACTGCGAGTGAGGGGAGGGACGGTGAGGGCTCCGAGCTCCGCCTGCGGCGTCCTGAGCCTATTCCCACTGGGAACGGACGTGGCTACCCTCACCCGGCCTGAAGGCATGGGGACGTCCCCCTGCAGTCGGGTCTCGCCACTGTTTAGGGGTGCGATGAGCAGAATGGTATTTACGACGGAGCTTGGTACTTAGGAGGTTCCCATTTTCTCCCCCACAAAAGGACACCATGAACCTCGGTCTGGTCGCCCGGGACGCTGCCGAGGATTGCCTGGACACACCGACATACCGGGGCCCTGGGAACTTTAGGGCCCCATCTTCAACCCTCACCTACCGAATACAGCTGCTCGGTTAAGTTGCAGTTGGTCACGTGGTTGAGGACCTTGGCTTTTATTCGATCGGGGAGGCTGTCGAGCCACCCTGGGTCGATGGCGTTGGGGGCA